ATATATATATATATATATATATATATATATATACACACACTTATACACACTCATACACACACACACATATATACATAGACACAAATATACAAACACACACACACACACATATATGTACATATACAAACATATACACATATATACACACACAAACACATATACACATATATACGCACACATGCATATAATCATAACTATAATAAAATTTATTTTTATCCCACCCCTCTGCGTAATGCAACCAGGGCGGCTTACAACATTATAATATACATTTCCTATCCCACAATCCCACCGTCCCTTAAAATACTATTAAACAGTGACAATTTAAAACATACTTAAAATAATAACACAAATATACATACATATACACACATATGCTATGTATGCATATACACACACACATATACACACGCGCACATATACACATGCACACACGCACACACATATGTAAACAAAGACATATATATGTCCCTGTGATTGTATTATTTAGTTATGTGGGCTCCCTCTGGGAGAAAAGAAAAAAAAAAAGCCAATGTTAAAACCCTGCGTATGATCTATGTCCCCATTATACTATGTATGACAGGGTGACCAGATATGTCCTCACCGCAAAATGGAGGACAAGACAACGCAGAATGTAGGTCATTACAGAAAAATGTAGGGACATAACCAAAGAAAAGCTACAAAACACTCATATATAAAAGTAAATCCAAGCTTATTAGTCATGCTCCAAATGGAGGACATTTTGGAATTCCTCCTGGAAAAGAAAGTTGAAATGTAGGACAGGTCTGAAAAAATAAATAAATAGAGGAAATATGATGTGTATATATGAGGGATTAGTTAATAATTGAGAACATTTTTGAGCTAGGATGTGATTAATTTGTTGGCTTGTAAGGTAAAATGTTTATATTAATAAACTTATATTAATATGTTAAAAAATGTAGGACAGGTCCTGGCAAAAGGAGGATGGCCAGTCACCCTGTACTGTAATCACCTCCTCCTTTGCTGGAAGGCCAATTCAGCTGGGAACAAAACATGCCCCTGCTTTTTTTTTTTTTTTTTAAAAACCATTTCCCTGTTATTGTATTTCTTAGGCATGTGGAGAAAGAATTAAAACCCTGCCAGTGATTTATGTATTAATTAGTATAAACACATTAAACAAAGTCTGCCCTTTCAAAGAAAGGAAGATCCAGAAACAATGCCTGCTGTTACTTCTAAAGGCAAACTGTGGCATGGTTTGCCAGTGGAGCCCTCTCCATCATTTATAGGGTCCACAAGCACTATAGCTGCTTCTGGGGACCCCCCCCCCACCTCAGACAAAGGAAGCCTGGTAGGTTCCCCACAATTTTTTGCAGCTCGGTAGCGTAGCAACCCTGCAGCATCCCCAATGTGATCAGGCAGTCCCAAACAAGGATGCAACCTGATCCAGAACAGACTAAGAAGTGGATAGAATAGGCTGTTCATGGATGGACAAAGCCAGGTATGTGTCAGGCAGGGAGACAGAAGGGGAGTGGATCTGGGGTATGGACCAGCTTAAGAGAGGGGAAAGGCAGGCTGATTGTTGCAGATAAAAAACAGGGATTGCAAGAGGAATCAGGCTTCATCTATAGACTCATCTTAAATTTTAGAGGGAAAAGACAGATTCACCAAACTTTCAGTGTCTCATTTCATGATAAAAGAGGGAAATGCTTCAACTACACTATATTCTGCCAGGATAATGCCATTTCTCTCTTAACTTCAGAGAAGCATAAGGAATGTGTTAGCTTTTATGGTGCCACATACACTTGTTTGTTGTTGTTGTTATAAAGCAGTGCTGCTTTCCAGAGAAGAGGTAAAGATTTGCACTTTTGTGGCTGATTGGATGCTATGATTGCAACATCCTGTGTTCTAATCCCATTAGTCCATTTGGGGTGGTAGTTGTCAGAGCCTCCTGGGTGGCTGGTGACTGTTCAAACAGACCAGCTCAATACATCCAACAACTGGACTTTGTTCTGGAAGTATCTGCAAACCTAAAAATGGAAAAGAGCAGCATGCATCGTTATAGCATAGAATGTGCTAAATTAACCAGATTGCAGTAGAGCAGGGATGGGGAATGTATGGCTCTCCAGATATTGTTGGACCACAAATCTCATCAGCCCCAAAGCCAGTATAGACAGT